TCTTTCCTTTTTGGTCCGTCCCAAATTTATCTCCTCTTTCCTTTTTTAGCAAAGGATTTGTGGTTCATAACCATTCTTACACATTTCTCTCTCCTCTGCACAACTCTCCACCACACATTTCTCACTTTCTTAATCTTCGTGCCGCAAAACTGAAGTTAATTCTGGGACGGAGGGAGTAATGAATTTCCCATTTTTTAAGACAAAAAAATCTTCACCATTGGTCATGCATTTAATCAAGGGCATAGCTAGGGAATGACCATATTAAATCCCGGTCCGTTCCAAGTTTGAAAAATGCTTTCTATTTACATCGCAAAAAATGTTATACGGAGTATTATGTATGAAAAAATATTTTGAAAAACTCTTTGTATCAACCGAGTTCGTGTATCCTCCTGCTTACGCTCGTCGCCGTTTTCCATAGTGACTATGTTGTCGTGCTCACTAAATTTACGGGTTTTATGGATAGCAGAGAAATCACAATCCGCACTCCATGTAGAAACATTATTATTTGGCTATGTTGTCGTGCTCACTAAACTCTTTGTAGTGTTTGTGTGTCACTACAAAAAAAACGATAGAATTGACACGAATTTGGCATGAATTTATCGATAATTTCGTGTCAAACTGTTTTTAGCATGAATTTTGCATATCTCTCCCAAAATATGGACAAATTTTGAAAAATCTCAGTAAAAAATCCATGTCAATCTCATATTTATTTTGTAGTGTGTGGATTTGGTTATTTGGTAGTATATTACATTTGGGGTATGTTTGGTTCAGGGAATGTCAGATTACTATGAGAATGTCATATTGCTGGGTATGTTAGATTGATGAGAATGTCAGATTGTTAGGTATGTTAGATTGATGAGAATGTATCCAATTTATTCCAATTTGTGTTTGGTTAAGATTAAGGGAATGTGATATTAATTTATTTGGTTGAAAGATATCTTATGTTGCAGATATGGTAAATTACTTCAATGCCCTTTAAATATTTTATCTTAACTCAATAAATCTATTACAACCTACATCTAAAGTAATTAAAATTAAAGAAAAAATGAAATATCTTAATAATAAATAAAATCAAACCTAATTGAATTATTTTTATTTTTAAGTAAACTATGTTTTATTGTAAAAAGTTGTAGATCCAATTCAAAAGTGAAAAAACTTTGTTCAATCTAAATATATTTATTATTATTTAAAAAATATTAAATTTAAAAAATGTTCAAGTTATTCATAAAACTTCTTTTCAAATTAGGAAAAAAATGATCAATTTTGCCATTAAATTTTGAAATTCACTCATCAAAAACTTAAATAATCTATAAGTCTTATAAAATAAATACCTTAAAAAATTTAAATGTTTAGGAAAAAAGAATTATGAAAATAACAAGAATAGACATTCGAATATAATTAAATAAACATACTTCATCTGTTCTACTTAAATGGTTGTCACACAATCTATGATCGACTGACCATTAAATTAACTGATCTCTTTCAATAATAAGATTATTTTTTAGTAAATATAATTTACATATTTAGAAACTACATTAAAAATTTAAAAAAACACAATATATAAAAAATTTAAATGAAAAGAGATAATTAATTCAGGGTATTTTCGGAAGAAAATTAGACCATCACCGAGAATGTAAGATAACCTAAGGTATGGGTGGTTATAAGATTCCCTCCATATTACATTCCCAGGAATGTAACTTTTCCGATTTTTTCTGAAACTCGTGAACCAAACATGGGTATCTTAGATTCCGTGCATCACATTCCGTCCTTCATGATTACCCCAAACCAAGACATGGTTTTTATGGAAAAGCTAAAACCAATTGCCTAATGCCGCATCACGATTTGGCCCATGCATGTGTGTAAATAGGGGACAAACGTTACGTGACTTGTAAGTATTTTATTTGAAAGTTTTTATACTTCCTTCCTATTTTAAAGTTGGATACACTATCCTTTTTGTATGTATTTAAATGTTTGATACATTTTCCCTTTTTAGTAAGTTTTTCCTTTAAAAATACTCATTTATTCTTACTTTTCTACTTTTTATCTTATCTTTTATACTTTTCACTTTTTCTATAATATCCATGATCTCTTCTATTTCACCCTTAAATGTTGTGCCCAAACCTTTCTAGAGAATTTTTAAATACAGAGGGATTATGATAAATGTATATGAATGAATTACTTTACTCTTACACCAATAATTGGAATTTTGGAAGTCAAAGTGCCACTGCTTGAGGGGAAAGGCCAGGGGGCCAATTGCCAAGTGTTAGGGTCTGTTTGCAACAGCTTCTGCTTTTAAAAAAGTGCTTTTTTTAATGAAATGGGGAGAAGTGATTAAATAAAAGTTGATAGTGTTTGAGAAAAAAGTGATTTTGAAAAGTAAAAGTGGGTAGTGTTTGGTAAAATAAGTGCTTTTTGTGTAATAGAAAAAGTAAAAGCACTTTTGACGCGGAAGCCGAGAAAAATAAAAGTTGTAGTGTTTGGGAAAATAAGTGCTTTTTAAAGCCAAAAGCTGAGAAGTGCTTTTTTAAAAGCATTTGCAAACCAACCCTTAATCTCCTATGTGAAAGTTTGTCATTCTTCAATTATAAGTTTAATTTTCTCCAGTATAAAAACTTCGAACAGTTTGTAGTTATTTGGCAAGGTGTGAAGCAAGTTTATTTCAGTTTTGCTTAATGATGATAAGATGTTACTTAAATCCTAATTTCTCTAGATCAAATTGTTACGCAAAATTATTTATGAACTTTTAAATGATACGAAAATGTACGATTATCAAATTCAATTTTTAGCTGATCATATCAAACATACATGAATTCAATGCCATATGTGGGGCATGTTCGGAATTCGGATCCATCTCTTCCAAATATGGTAAGACCCTTTGTTTAATAAGCCATGCTTGCTGTTTAAAATTTTACATAAATGAATTTGTATCATTTTTTCCTGTTTTAACACAGTAAATATATGACTTTTTCAACTAATTAATATATCTAAGATGGCGTTTGATAGGACGTGAAATAATTACATGTAAGGATATAAAAAGTTTGCACTGTTTTGCTTTATTATTTAATGAAAAATGTTTGACACTTTATAAAAGTATTTCACAGTGTACACAAGTATTGTAAAATATTTTGCATGCTTTTTATGTAGCACTACAACGTCTTTGCGTGCAATTTAAAAATAATTATATATCTAGTGAACAATGTAATTTAATTTACACGCATAATGATTGTTTGTCTAAACTTTGCCTCCAATCTTTTTGTATGTAAAAATTTAACATGTAAGCAATTAAACGAGCCTAAAGTTGAATAACACGAGTCTGCTCTTATCAAGAGGAGATTTGGGGAGGGAAAAGCACATTAGTACATGTCCATGTGCTCATATCATTTGACGCAAGGCAATATAATGAGGATCATTTCATGAGTCTATGTGTCCAAATTAACCTTATTTTACATCCAAATAATAAGATCAATGTTAAATACTCTCTCCGGTCCTAAATAAAGTTCATATTTCCTATTTGAGTATATCTAAAATAAAATCCTCATTTCTATTTTAAGTTTTTAATATAAACTTATTCTTATATTTTTACTTTATTACCTACCTTACATCTATTTCCTCTCTCTCACTACAGATAAACTACTTTTTGTAGTAGTATGATGAGAAAGTCAAAAGCAAAAAATTCCACTTTCTTAAAAACGTAAAGACAAAACTATGAAGTTTATTTAGGATGGGACCAAATATTATTTAATTCATTATTAGACAAAGATCGTATGTATATTAAATTTTTGCACTGTACATCGTTAAATATACTGTATAAAACTTTTGTAATTTAATTTATCACTTTAGGATAGGACGGAATAGGTTTAATAATGTAGGGCACCCCATTATTGACTATGGGTGCATGTGAGTTTGTTCATTTGAGTGAGGTGAGAGATATTAAATATTGGTATGTCTTTGTTCCAAAATGTATCATTTCATGTCCTTCTCCTCAACTGTCCGCAAAGGGCTGGACAAGAATATTTTTGCCTCATTAATTGGATCTTATCTTTTTCCCCTTTCCTATTTTGGTCTCTCTTGTTAGCAACATTCAATTTTCATTCATCCATTTGTGCCGGCCCTACCCTTCAATTTTTTGCAAGTCTTAAATGAATAGCCCAACTTGAATTTATTATTATGGATACCGTTCATTCATTACTGGACTAGAATGGCATATTATTACACATGGATCTGATCATTGTCAAAAACTGTCAAGTAGGAGGAGAAGCTCTCCGACTTGGTCCTCAACCAATATGAGCCACAAACCCCTAACCAATGTACTTATATGTAGTACTACCTCCATGGTGGTTCGGAACCGCTTTGAACCGGTCCTTCAAGGTTCTGGTTTGCGCATTTGGTGAATTGTGAACCGCCGGTTCGATTCCATACTTCCGGTTCCGGTTCGATTCCAAACTGGGACATGTCTACCTTCACCCCTAAGACTCAAACAAAGGAATATGATGTAGTTTGTAAGAAAAGTAGAATTATGTGATTAATAATGAGTTGATAAAGTAAGAGTAAAGTGGAATGAATCAGAGTCACAAATATTACCAAACAGTGGCGGACCCAGGAAGTCAGAGCCACGGGGTCCCTACCCTTTTATATCTCTAATCTCTAATTAATATAAAACTAATAAAAAAATACTCCCTCCGTCCCAATATAAAAGGCACACTTTCCTTTTCGGTCCGTCCCAATATAAAAGGCACATTTCTCTTTTTGGCAAACAAAACAGTGCAAAACAGTGCCAAACAGTGCCAAACAATGTCCAAACAGTGTCAAACAGTGTTCAAACGATGTTCACCCTTAAAAAGTCTAGAAACGCAAATGTGCCTTTTATATTGGGACGGAGGGAGTATTAAAGAAGCAAAACACTTCATAGTTAACGTACACCATCAAAACATTAAGGTATTATAAAGCAAAAAATTACATATAAAAATCATTCAACAATTCTACAGATGTACCCTCCTAAGCTTCATTTGTTGGAAATATTCTATAATAGAATCATCACTAATAGTTTTGGTCTATTTAATTAAAATAGGCCAAAACGACGTAGTTTTGGTCTATTTAATTAAAATAGTTTTGGAAAACAAAAAAGTAGCCTGGGGATTCGAACATGGTACCTCCAGCAACATAGAAACCAAATTCCCGCATGTGCTCCCGTTCCCCTGCTACATTCTTCTGGTTCTTACGTCATTTTGTATGTAAATATACACTCACTAATTAATTTTATATAATATATATATAATATATATAGGTATTTTTTTCGAGGTGGACGGGGTCCCGGGACCCCATGGGACCCTTACCGGGTCCGCCTCTGTTACCAAATATGATATAGAACAAATTTAGAGGGACGAGTGGAAAAGAAAAAATTACAGAAAAGTGTCAAATTGGCCCTCGTACTTTGTACGGATAGTCAATTATACCCATGTACTTTAAGTTTCATCAATTAAGTCCTCCTACTTTGAATTTTCATCAAAACCGACTTTTAGCAGGTAACCCACCAGTCAGCAGGTTACCTCCTAGTGTGGCGCACACATGGCCTGACACGGCGCACACGTGGCGAGCCCCATCAGTTTTTTCTTTTCTTTTCCCATTTCCCTTTTCCTTTTTCATTTTCCGTTTCTTTTTTTTTTCTTTTTCCCCTTTATTTCTTTGTCTTCACCCGCCAACCCTTCAACCCTTCTTCTTGGAGAGACTCGTCAGCATGAACAGTAGTCTTCAAAAATGGAGAGTGCTCGGAAAATTAAACTAAAAATATGAGGAGGTGTGCCTATTCACGGAGACCTCCTTTACATATTTTAATTTTTGTGCCAAGCCCCCGGAGTCGCCGAAAAAAATGCCGGAGATGTCCAAAAATGAGAAATTTCGACAAACTGTAAAATGGCCCCCAAATCTCGTCCCCAGCTTCTCAAAATCGATATGGAGCGTTGTTCCTAGCCAACAAACTCCAATCTAGTCTCATAAATGAATAAAAATTGCCCACATTTGAGTCATGAGCAATAATCGATTTCGCATAAATAGTGTTTCTTGCTCTGGCCGTTAAAGGTGAAAGAAAGGGAAATGAGAGAAAGAAATAAAGAAAGTAAGATGATTGAGGTATTTTTTGCAGGGGAGATGAGGGGGTTGGAGGTTTAATTTTTTTGCAAGGCTTGGAGGAAGAAGACGGGGTTGGGTCTTGCAGAAGGGGAAATGCAGGGCCGTCTTAAGTATGTTTGGTACTTTGGTGCCCAGACAAAAATTGAAATTTTATCTTAACATTAGTTAATAATGTTTTATACAGTAATTGTATACAGAGTATAGATGATTATATAAATAATAAGAGGAAGATAGTGATGATAAATTAAAAATAGCCACAAACAAATCATATAAAATTTGAAACATGTATACCTGTGTCGTACAAAAAAATAAAAAGACTATTTTTAATAATCTATTCTTCAATTCTTGCCTTCTATAGTTCAAAATTTGTTAATTTGAACACAATTAAAGGTAAATAAAACATGTTTTCTATTAATAACATAGCTAGACCACTTATTTATTAAGAGATACTCCCTATGTCCGAGGTAAATGTTCTCGTTTCAATTTATGAAGTTTGACTGACCATAAAGTTAACAAATCTTGTCAATAATAAGATTATTTTTAATAAATAAAATCTACATATAAAGAAATTACATTAAAAGTTACTAGTATAGTACCCGTGCGATGCACGGAATTTGAGTACAAATTATCTCATATTGCAACTTGGTAAGGGATTTTAAATAAAAAACAATTGTAAATATTTATTCTTTATTTTGAATTTTTAGGTTTGAATGCTTAACTTCAAAGAGCTCAGAATGACTATTTTGATATAAAAACTAAATAAATACTAAGTAGTATTAGGAAGCGGTCCTTCCCAGCTGGTCGCCAACTCACTCTCCCTTACGGGAGGTCTTGGGTTCGAAACTCAATGGGCTGAAACTCAGCCCTCATTACTCCCGTCCCCCCAGCCCCTCCTCCAGACACCCCTGAAGTGAATAAAAAAAACTAAGTAGTATTTGTTTCAAGTCATTGAAAACTCTCCTTAATACTTTTGAAACATTTGATTTCATTCCAAATATGTACTTTTGGGCTAAAGTTATGATATAAAAACAAACTTTTAGTATTAAACACCTACTTAACCATCAAAACTAAATGCACATTATCTGACTTCTTATGAAAACGCATGTCTTATAATTTCAAAAGTAACATTTCTTTTGCCTATCCAAACACCCCCCATTTTCCCACCCCACCTTAAACTTACAAATTTATAATGCTTTTGTCATCTCACTTTTTTATGTTATACTCCGTATTTTGTTCTAGTAAGGAATGCATCAATCCTCCCTATTGCTATATTATTAGACAAAAGAAATTGAAGATTTCTACATAGTATTCACCCCAGGGAAGGTCCTGTCGATTTTGGGGCCTATGGCCGAGATATTATCTTGGACCTATGTTCAAGACAAAAAGTAATCTCTAAATATCGATCAACGAAACAGGACACACCACTGGATTGTTCTCTTCACCTAAATCACACTTATCCGGTTCAATTTCAATATTTGTGGCTTCTGCACCTATATCACTATTTCCAAGCATGTTATGGTTTTCATTCGCAAAAGAATTTAGCGGCGATTCAACTTGAGAAGAATTTTCGGGATTCAATTTCTTAACAAAAACAAAATTTTCCATTGTCCCCTTCTTACTTAAGGTTGCCTTTTCTAATCTTTGCCTTTTTTCTCTCTCCCAACCAAATTCACCCATTTTATTAAACACATTCACAATAGTAAAACGAAATAAAGGAATTTAATTTCAAAATTGCACAATGACACACAAATATGAATTTGCCAAGACACTAAAAATGCATCATATAAATCATTAATCATAATTCATAAATAAAAAGAACATTTAGTGGATTTATTATTCATAGCTAATAGATTGAGAATAATTTACTGGCCATTGTCGGATTGTTTAAAGCCTTGATAGAAGAAGGCGTTCTAGTCACCGGCCACTGTTTGGGCTCCTAACTGTTGACCGCTTTGGCTAATGGTGATTTGCAGGGTTGCGACGCTCTCTAATGTCTACTCTTGTGCGAAATGGTCAAGACCTTATAAAACCTTAGTCCTTTAGTTCCTTAGATAATTGAGTTTAACTGGAACTTGGAAACCACCGTCCAGCACATTAATTAGGTTAGTGGGATAGGGTAGTTTATGAATTGGGAGTTTGGGAGACACACAGGTTGTACAAAGAGTTAGAGACAATTAATATTTTGATAATTTTGTAATTAAAAGAATTATAAAGCCAAGAGATGTGAAAAGACTTAACTACATACTCAAGGAGGCGTGCCGTACGCCTATTAACATTTGTTTTAAAAAATTTAAATTTTCAACAAAATTAAACTTTATTAGGCCTAATTACTTGAGCTTAGCCACAAAAGAGATGTCTACTCATACTATATATAAAGACAAATTTTTGGCCTATTTTTTCCCCTATTTTTAGGGCCTAGGGCGGTCACCCCTGTTGAATTGAACCCTAGGACCGGCCTTGATTCACCCATGGTCGCCCCCAATCGCAAAAATACAAAAAGAAAATCATCGAAACAATATTACCGTAGCTTGTCCTTTGCCGCCTCCAGCATTGATATACTGATATTATTTAATATTTATCATATAGTCTGCTGCATTTTAGAATTGTTAAGTTTAATTAGTGTAGAAATCATTTTCTTGTTTCTTGCTTCTTCCCTGTAAATGATTTCAATATTTATCCTCACTTATTCCCAGTCGAAAGATATCATGGCCTACTCAATTGAAAGGCAAATGCTACCTCCGTCTAAATAAAGTTAAGAACATTAGTCGTATGACACTAATTTAAAATACTACCTCCGTCTAAATAAAGTTCTGTCATATTGACTTTCTTGGTCAATGATAGTAAACTTTGGATGATGATTTCATTTATTATATTTGTATATAGTTTATAAATTTTATACTTTCATAAAAATATTTTGAATGATGAACATTTTGAAATAAATTTCATATTCAAAATAATGTCGTATTAAAAAATATCATTGGTCAAAGTTGGTTGTCGACCAAGAAAAGTCAATTTGGCAAACTTTTCGGAACGGAGGGATGGAGTACTAAATATGGCTAGTGATCCTTATGATAATGCATGTCCATCTCATTAAATCATAAAAGACTTAATTATTGTATGAGTTATATGACCAGAAATTATACTCACTAAGCCATACCCCCAATCCCCATACTTGTGTAGCTTAATAATAAATTTATTTCTCTAAGCATAAAAAACCCAACACTCAAAGTTGTGGTCTTGTGGTTTTCCAGAACATAGTCAAAATATATCCAAAGTGCACATCGTATACATATAGTGGATGATAAAGACAATTGTCAACATATTTACTAAAGACTAAAGATTAAATATATATATATATACTTATATTTAAACAAATTATAGCACAAATATGGATTTATATTACTGAGATAAAGAATATTATTATTAAAAGATATTGTAACATCTGTGATTTGCATAATTGCATTTATACTCTTAGCACGTTACTTTATTTTGCATATTAGGACATTTATATTTAAGTTATCCTTAGTCCTTAATTACGGTGTTTTGTTAAAGAAAAAGAATGAAAAATGAAAGAAAAAGATGTTATTAGTACGCAGGAAGAGGGGAGTCGATCTAATTTATTTTATATCTTCATCAATAAACGAATGAACAAACTCTTAATTACACAGCCCATGCATTTAAATCCAACAAATTCCATTATGATAGACTGATAGTAATTATGATACCCTTAAGAGATTCCATTATGATAGACTGATAGTAATTATGATACCCTTAAGAGAATTGGGATCGTATTTATATACGTAGTACTACGTATTAGATTATATTGGCCTTTGAAGTCATTGCAGGCTCTTCAACCAGCCGCCATGGGAATTGGGAAAGCCAAAAAATACTCCATAATTATTGCCGCCTGCCCATGCATTTAGATCCAAAAAAATTCCACCCTGCGATGTTTTTTGTCTTCTCTACATACAGTTTCCAATGTGATTTACGTAGTATTTTTTTTTACAGCAATTAAAAGCCCAAATTGCTACGGGGTACTTAGCCAACGAATGCATACTACTTTGTGTTTAATCTTTTAAGAAATAATAATGATAACAAATGTCCGCCAGCACGTTGCTTTACAACGTTTGGCTTTCCGGCTTCCAATGCTTTTCAATTTGGTAATGAGCACACCTATTTCTAAAACACAATTAATGCAGCCCTCACGTAAAAAACGAAAAAACAAAATTGCTCCAGTGTTCCCGCCCAAACTCCCCCACACTTTTCTGTTTTACTATATAATATAGATATAAAGTCACAAAAAACTTAAATTTGATAAAAGTCGGAATACAAAGTGAAAGATGAAGAATTATTTAAGTTGATTGGATGAATAGTGAACATGAACCTTACTCTGAGACGGAGGTAGTACTATTGAAGATATATTTTTTTTATCAAAATCAAGTCTAACAAAATTTATAGAGAAAAATAGCAAGAATGTAGTACGCAGTACTCAATTATAATTAGTTGTATTACAAACTTCTCAATATTTATAATGAATAAATTAAGAACACAATTTTTAATTAATAAATTTAAGAATCTAAAACAAAAATATATACCTCCCTCCGTCCCGAAAAAGTTTGTCAAATTTTCTTTTTTGGATGTCCCAAAAAGATTTGCCATTTCCATTTAAAGTAAAGAATATGTTGCTAAAGTTAATTCTCTCTTATCTGCACAAATTTCAATCACACGGTTTTTACTTTATTAATCCACGTGAAAGTCAAAGTTGGCGAAACTTTTTGGGATCGAGGGAGTAGAAATAATAGTTTTGTTTTTAAAAATTGATGCCCCACATGACAGTGGTGCCCTAGGCATATGCCTAAGTGCCTCCCCACTATAGCTGGCTCTGGGAAATGGGGAAGAGAAAAGAAAAGGAAGCAAAGAAAACTGAAAAGCTGATGTGGCCCGCCACGTATGCACCATGTTAGGCCATGTGTGTGCCACCTATGCGCCACGTCAGCAGGTAACCTGTTGACCGGCGGGTACCTGCTAAAAGTCGGTTTTGACGAAAATTCGAAAGTAGAACTTAATTGATGAAACTTAGGGTGTGTTTGCAACAGCTTCTCCT